TTCTACATATCATTTGCGATTGCTTTTAAAACATTGAGCATATTTTCAATAGTATGCTTCAGTATTATTACTTCTATTTTTTCGTTATTTACATGGTAATTAAAAACTCAGCCATCAGACACGATCGTACTCGTGGTGGACGCAGCATGTATCCTGGCTCTCGTTATCTTCGTCAATTGGCAGCTCGTGTAAGCAATCCAAGCCGCAGTAACAGTGTCTCTACAAATGGAGCTGACGCATCAGCATGTCAGGCTCAGAAGCAGAGGCATCACCAGCAACAACAGAACTCAGCCGGTGCCGGGTTATCTCCGCTCTCAAACACTGGGTCTGCAGGACTCTACATCGAGGCAGACTGCGATGCTATAACCGAGTACTCTGCTGCTTCTACGCCAGGTGAGGGCACCGTGGTTGGCGTCACGGAGACAGGAGCTCTATTGATAGGTCCGAATGGACTTGATGCTGGTGGTGGCGTATTCATCGACCCTGCCGTGCTCGAGGGAGATATCCTGGACTCTGGTCTTGAACCGCCATCCACGCCTTCTGCACTTGTTTCCTCTCCTTGCGCTGTTCTCACTCGTGCTTGTGGTCCTACGCGAGCCGCTGTTTCCACAGGTAAGCGCCTTCAGCCGACTCCTGCAGTACAAGCCACTGCTAGCGCGTCGCTCAAACGCCTGCGTGCTTCTTCGGGGACTATGGGGTATTCAAGTGGCGCGTTCGTCACCAACGGCTCGTCTGCCACTGGGTTGGATGTCAATGCAAGCGGGCTGCTTGGGCACCGCATCTTCACTGCATCGTCAGCTTCTGTGATTTCAACGCCTGTTGCTATAACTGCGTTAGCCTCTGGTGGAAGAGCTTCGTCCACGGACGTGCTTCATTCAAGCCAAGTTCAAGCCACTTCATTAATGACAGCAGAATGGGGTGAATCTAATCCTCTATCCTTAGTCCCTGGAAATGGCATATCTGGCATCTCAAATACTCAGTCTTTTACTGGTCAAGGAGACACTACCTATTCCGATGCCACTGAAGTCGGAATTTCAAGTCCGCCTAGATCAGTCTCAGTTTCACCCTCCAGTGGATATCGGTCTCGAAAGACAGAACTGCCTAAGGTAAGTGTTTTATTTTTTTGAGCAGTCTTGTGTTCCGTAATTTTTTTACACTCAAGTCTACCATTACCAGCAACTGATGAACTAACCAGTAATATGGTTTCAATGTTTAAGCTTATCCTTTAGTCATTATTATTCTAAGTTAACTTAGATGTCATGCATATACTGTTTTTTTGAGTTGAGACAATTGAGAGCTTTGTCATCTTAGGTTGCTTAGGGTGATTGAAGGATTAGTAGTCAAGTTTTAATTCAATGAATAGGTCTTTCAATGACATTTTATTCCACTTAGTCTATATTATACAGTTTGGAGTGCAATCTATACCTTACTTGGGTTCATCAACACTCCGCACAGGATTCGGATCTTGATTGTCGTGTCTGTGTTTCTACATAAGTAGGTCACTAGTAGATCACCATCTCATTTATTGTTGATTTATCGATTCTTATTCAATCATTAATGATTGACTGGGATCTGAAACATCGGAAATAAGTTCTTTTTTCCGGCTGCAATAGTAAATGCATTTTGCCTACTTGTCAATTCAACTATTACCATTGAAGTTACGTCTGCGTTGTCGCCTAATGGCACCCGTGGATCCTTAATGAAATAATATCGTTGCACCAATACACACGACTCAGTATCGGATCCCGCCAGGGGCGCCAATGAAAACTACTCGAGATCAAAACTGCATTGAGGCAAGGCTATGGAAATATTCGTGATACTAGGTTTTCTCAAGGTATCGGGAAGTTTCATTGTGGTAAAACATTAAAACATAAACCTTAAATCACCTTAAATTGCCTTGATGATTACGTTCGTATTTAATAGCTACTTATACTTATGGTGAAAAGTAGATATTTCAGATACGAAGCTTAACCGGGTTTCAATGAATCTCCTGAGATAACATTGTTGGGGAGACCATGAAAAAGGGATTTGAACGTCTATCTTA